TTCTGGTTGTCGTATTATGGTAGGAACACCCTGGCTTTGAAGAGTGCAATGTGAATGACAATCAAATTGATGATATAGTTGCAATTCAATACCTAAATTATAAGGGTCTATGGAAGCTGGAAATGCTCACACTGAAGACGGAAACACTCAAGGGAGATCATATAGATAAATTCAAGATTTTAGAGTATAAAGATAAACTGAACCCTAATTATGTTTAACATATTCACAAACTTTACAACATGGAGACAATTTAAGTTTAATTACTTTACACAGAGCTGAATACGTGAAATGGATTATCTCGGGTGCAAATAGAGACAGACTATGTCACCAAGTCCAGGCTGATAGAGATTTTGTAAAGAAATTGTTTGAGGAATGTAAAGTCCTACATCAAATGCAAGGAATACTATTGATATAGTAATGAAGAAAAAATGAGTACTGAAATTATGAACATTTGTATTGCAAAATAATGAGTTGGGGTAAATACTTGACTGGTGGGAATGAGAGCAATGCCTACACCCTGATATATCATGTGCTGAGTATCTGCTGGTGTTAATTAAGACAGTGTGTAAATCATAAGTTTTAATCACATCAAATGAATAATTAATCTCTCTATCTTCTTAAAAAGGTCATCATTGGAATTAAAGAACTCCAGCATATTTTCCAAGGGCTCATTCATTGGATTTGGGTCAGAATGAGCCAGTTGCTCAGCCTTTTTGTGCTTCAGCTTAAGCAATTCTAAAAGTGCTCCCAAATGATTCTCTGTCCTTTGGGATCTTGTGCTTGAACAGCAAACTCGACACTAGCCTAAAATAATTCCTCCTTACCTTGGAGATGCATGTTATTTTTTCAAAGGTAATTTAGTATGTCACTCTGGCTTAATGACAGCACTCTTGCCTCTGAGTCAGAAAATTGTGTGTTCAAGCCCAAAGTCAGGACATGAACTCACATAGTCTCAGATGACCCTCCAATGCATGGTTGGGGATGAGCTACATTAATGTTGTTCTTTGGATGGGATGTGAAATCGAGGTCTCATCTGCCTGTTCAGGTGGATATTAAAAATCCCGTGGCACTTTTTGAAAAGTGAACGGAGTTTCTCTCAGTATCCTGGTCAACAATCCCCCAAAATAAAAAAAAATGGTCATTCGTTTCAGAGCTGTTTGTGGGACGTTGCTGGGCATAATAGGCCTGCCGTGTTCATCTACAAATAAACAGCCACTCCACTTCACAGCAAATCCTGTGAAGCGGTGCGTCCTCCCAACATGAAAGGTGCGACATCAAATGCAAAGATTATCATTACTGTAAGTCATTGTATCAAGTGTAAGGATTATTATTTATTTATTATGATCAAATCAACATTTCACCACAGGAAGACATCAACATTAAAAAGATTTCCCCTTATCAACACTAATTTTTGGTCATATTAGGAAAATCATAACATTGTTAACATATACTATATAATAATAAACAATAATCATTTTAAATCTTTTCAGTTATTTTTAAGACTTGTCCTTTATATTGTCTATGTAGTTGTTGTTATGGGAAATTGCTGTGCGCAAATTGGCTGCCATGTTCCCCAACAAAAAAAAGTCACTGCATTTTATAATAAAATCTTGTGAAGTGCTTTGAGACATCCTCCCAATGTAAAGGCACTATATCAAAAATAAGTATTATTATTATTTATAGTAACAGGAAGTTAAAGAAGGAAAGTATTAAAAAAAGTAAACTAGAGTGACATTAAAGTTTATAGCAAAATGGGGGAGAATTAAACTACCAACAAAAAAACCCCCACAACAATTAGAATCCCCCTCTCAACAATTACCAGAAAGAAATAGGGAGACAAAATTAAGCTGCAGTTTCAAAGCACTAAACAATCCCTGTGTATCCAGCCAGGAAATGTCAAAGGGAGTACATGAGCATCAGAGTATGTCAATGCAACTTAAAAGAAAAACTGCATCCAAAACTGTAACAAAAATAAAGATTTAAAAAAGGATAAATTATGAAAAAATAGTTAAAAATCAAAAGTCTCTGCACGGATTTCATTCCTCCCTCTTTCTCCAACCCCAGCAACACAGAAACCATTGTGTTCCTTAGTACAAGCTCCAATTGTGTTTTCAAGCAAATACTTAGCCCATTAGTTTTTTGAATTAGTTAACAAAGTTAAGGATTTAGCATGAGCTATGTTGGAGGTTTTGTGCCTTTGTGAAAATTTTCATAGAACTTTATTCACTTGAATATTTTATCTGGGGTTATTTACCTTTTACAGGAGATGGTTGAGGTCTATTTTATGCAGATCACAAATGTTGCACAACTTCCAAAAATGATGGAAATCCCTAAAGCCATGACTCTTCCTAATGAAATTTTTAAAAAAATATTACTGGGAACATAAAGTAAAAATAATTACTTTCTGGGCCCCTTGGGAGGCACTATACAAATCTAATCTTGTTGTTGAGAAGAGAAGTTCTGACTGAGTTAAGATTTTTCTTAGCATTTCAGAGTGTGAACATTTTAGATAATTCTTAAATTCGGTCTTAATTAAGTTCTAGAACCATAGAAACGCCCCAAATACTGAAACTTCAGGAAACAAAGTCTACGTTTTGATCCAGGAAAAAATTCTCCCCAATTCTCAAGAGTACAAAATCACTGGCCAGATTGCGCTTCAGTCTTTTTAACACTTTGACAGCTTTTGAGAGATCCAATTAATCATTTTGCAAATCTTTCAAATTAAATGGCTTTGTTTAGTAGCAAACCAGAAGTCACAATTAACATTTTGAATCTGGCTGTTGCAAAGTAGACCCCATAGTCAGTTTAGAACTAGGAAAATACGTTTACAGTGCTTGTTAATTAAATTTCCCCTGCTTGACTTGCATGCATGTCACAATTGAACACAACAACAAATGACTGCATAAGGGAATATAATATTTTGATTCATTAAGCTTTTGACAGTGCACTGTTATTTTGCAAAAAAAAGGTTTAAGCTATAACAGAACAAAACAATAACAGCACCAAATTGCATTTATATAGCACCTTTCCTGTCTGGAGAACAAGTCGAGGGTTTGCACCCGATTTGGGAGGTTGGTTTTGAGATGGGGAGGGATAGGGGCTAGTGGGGGAAGGGAAGATTACTGAAGATGTAGTAAAACAGGAAGCTCTTCAATACAGAAACTGCTGCTGTGGAAAAGAGAAGACTTTTCTGTCTCAGAGTGCTTAGGTCATTACAGTATATCATGTGAAGCACTTTGACAGATTATCCCTTCGATGTGGAAGTCGCTGCACCAAACATATAATAATAATAATCCTTGCATTTGATACAGTGCCTTATCATGTCTTTGAGACGTCTCAAAGCACTTCACAGAATATATTATAAAGTGAATTGACTGTGTATTTTACAGTCAATACACAATACAGTCAATCAAACAAAGCAAAAGATGATTATTATGATACTAACTGTAGTTCGTCAGGAGCCTTTGTTCACTCGTTGAGCTGAAGGGAGGACCGACAGGCAAGGTTGGCAGAAATAATAATAATAATCCTTGCATTTGATATAACACTTTTCACTTCTTCAAGACGCCTCAAAGCACTTCATAGAATAGACTGTAAAGTGAATTGACTGTATATTTGTGGGTAAAATGTGGCAGCCAATTGCGCACCGCAGTGTCCCACAAACAGTGGTGGATTGAAATGACCAATTTATTATTGTTTTTTTGTTTATTATTATCAGGTGTGTGGAGTAAAGAAACTTGCCCAAGGTTTCATCCTGCCTTTTAAAATTTGTTTGTAGCCCAAAGTCAAACAAAAATACTAGCCCAAAAGTCATGTGTGTAGCAGAGTGGCCAATTTAGGTTAGTGGTTTTGAAACTGCAAGAAACTGTGATGGGTGGAAGGGAAGGGGGCAAAATGTTTTGCAGGTTTACATTAAAATTAAAAAAATTAGCCAACTGCCCAAAGCTGTTTTTTTACGCTCAGGGCAACAAAACAATCATTGAATTATACAGCACAGAAGGAGGCCATTCGGCCCATCGTGTCTGTGCCGGCTCTTTGAAAAGAGCTACCAACTAATCCCACTCCCCCGCTCTCTCCCCATAGCTCTGCAAACTTGTCCTCCCCAAATAATTAGCTACTTCTCTCTTAAAAGAGAAGTTATGGAATCGGCTTCCACCAGCCTTTCAGGCGATGCATTCCAGATCCGAACAACTCGCTGTGTGNAAAAAATTCTCCTCACCTTAACAACTATTTTAAATCGGTGTCCTCGGGTTACCGACCCACCCGCCAGCGGAAATAGCCTCTCCTTGTTCACCCTATCGAATCCCCTCATAATTTTGAAAACTTCTATTAAGTCTCCTCTTAATCTTCTCTGCTCCAAGGAGAATAACCCCAGCTTCTCTAACCTCTCCTCATAACTGAAGTCCCTCATTCCTGGTACCGTCCTGGTAAACCTCCTGTGCAGCCTCTCCGATGCCTTGACATCCTCTTAAAGTGCAGTGCCCAGAGCTGAACAGTCTCCAGCTGAGGCCTCACCAGTGTTTCATAAAGACTGGCGACAGAGCTCGCACAGGCCGTCCTGCCGACGTGGAGGTCGCCGCATCACACGTAAAGGACGCTGATTATGTATGACCTGTGGACTCCTCAGGAGTTTTCAGTGACTTTATGGCGGCGGCGGCGGGTTGGGATGAGGGGGAGCCGGCGGCAGGTGGCGGTACCACTCGCCCTGAGAGCGGACGCGGCGGCGGTTGAGCGCGAGCGTCGCGTTCTCTCTGTGTGTGTGTGTGCGCGCGCGCGTGCGCCCTCTCTCCCGCCCGCCCGCCCGCCGGCCGGAGTGTGTGAGTCGCCGGATCAAAATTGACGCAGGCAGGTCGCGAGAGAGCTAAAGGACGAAGACAGGAGGCGAGGACCCCGCGGGTGGCGGTGCTCCTCACACTCACTCACTGACGGCCTGAGTGACAGCAGCCGCCGGTCCCTCTGTCTGTCTGTTTTCCTTCACCCCCCCCCCCCCACCTCCTTCTTCGTTTCCTTCTGGCATCTTCCACTACTACTACACACACACACACACTCTCTTACTGTTTCAAACATGAAAGTGAGCGGCTCGGCGAGCGGTGGCGTTGGAGGAGGAGGAGGAGGAGGAGGAGGTTGATGAGAAAGAAGTGGGTAACCGTGAAACGCCGGGTTATAAGGTGAGCGGCGGTGTTATTGTTCGTAAAATATGTGTGTGTGTGGGGGGGGAGGGGAGGGGGGGCGAGCGATTGTTTGGAATCGACCGGCGGTTGGTTTCATCTGCTCGGAGGCTTTGTGTGTGTGTGTGTGTGGGGGGGGGATTCTGTAGTGAGATACCATCCCCACCACCACCTTCCGTCCTCTACCCTTCACTTGTGGTGGAGGAAGGGCGCCCAGACATTGGAGCTGAGACACAGGCACTTTCTTGACCGACTGATTGTGATCTCCTTTCTTCCGTTCCCCCTCCCCCCCTTCTCTCAGCCCCCCCCCCCCCCTTCCCTTTCTCTCTCACCCTTCCCTCCCTCCCCCCCTCTCTTCCTCCCCCCTATCCCCTTCTCTTCCCCCCCCTCCCCTTCTCTTCCCCCCCTCCCCTTCTCTTCCCCCCCTCCCCTTCTCTCCCCCTCCCCTCTCTCTTTCACCCCCTTCCCCCTTTTCTCTCCCCCCTTCCCCCTTTCTCTCTCCCCCTTTCTCTCCCCCTTCCCTCTCTCCCCCCTTCTCTCTCTCTCCCCCCCTTCCCCTCCCCCCCTTCCCCCTTTCTCTCCCCCCTTCCCTCTCCCCCCTTCTCTCTCTCCCCCTCTCTCTCCCCTCTCTCTCCCCCCCTTCCCCTTTCTCTCCCCCCTTCCCCCTTTCTCTCCCCCCTTCCCTCTCTCCCCCCCTTCTCTCTCTCCCCCCTTTCCCTCTCACTCCTATCACCTTTCTCTCACTCCTCCCACCTCTCACTCTCCCTCCTCTATCTTTGTCATACTCACACTCATCTTCTCACCTGCGCCCCCCACCCCACACTTTATCTTCTCTCACACTCTCCTCCTATCTCCTCTCACTCCACTTTGAGGTCTCAGTGCGAGCGCTGTTTGGTTTATAAAAGAGGCTCTGGAGCAGTTGCTCAGTATTCCCCACATATATTGAGTAACCTGCACGGAACCAACGAAAAGTACCGAAAAACTGACTTTATGCGGTACAGTTCTGCACTTAACTTTTGGTTAACGGTCCCCGTGATTTATTGCAATCACCTTCCCTTGAAATGTAAGCCGAAATTAAATTACTTTCTCGATAAAGGTAATCGTTTCACTGGCTACAAGTATGTGATACTTTACGATTTCCCCCAACCCATTCTTCCTGTGTACATTTGTTTTCAGAGAAGGTTTATGAAACGACCTTGTTTTCTCACCCCAACCCAATTCTTTACTTGCTTGTGTTATCCTTCAAGCAGCAATGATTTGTCTGTGTATGAGAGAGGTGCAGATTTTATTGTGTCAGCATGAGATGGAAGGCTGCTCAGGGGCTAAAATTATTTTAACAGCAACAGAAAGGTTGTGTACTTTATTCTATTGGTTTATTATGCCCTCTAAGGTTGCTCAATACAATAAATTGTTAGTGTTTTATAGAAACTTAAATTTTTCTCCTTCCTTAAGTGCAACATAAGAATAGTTGCACGTGATTATCTTGCGTATTGAGGGAACCTTAGTTGTTGTTGTATAGTAGGACATCAAAGGCTAAAGCTTAATAGTTTTAAACCCTTTGCTTGAGTTGTTTTTGAATAGTGAGGAAATCTTGAAGTTGGATTGAGGTGTTTGTGTCCATACTGAGAAGTTTTTTTTATGTACAATATTAAATATGGCTCCATAGGGTCCTAGCTCCGGCCTGCTTCATGTTCCCCGCCTTGCCCAACCCACCATTAGCAGGCGGGCCTTCAGCTTCTCTGCCCCCATCCTCTGGAACTCCATCTCACAGGCCCTTCGCCTCGGCCCCACCCGTGCCTCCTTCAAGACCTCTCAAGATCCTCCTCTTTGACCGTTCCTTCAGTCACCCTCCTACTCTCCACCCCTCCTGATCCCAACCACCAGTTGGGGTGCGGATCCCCGACTGTCCAGCACCTTAGGACGTGAAAACCGCTAAACAAATATAATTGTTGTTGTTGTGGAATTCTAAAGGGTAGGGGCAGAGAGGCTGAAGGACCGTGGGGGGGGTGTGCGGGTGTCGCGGAGATGAGCGGAGGGAACGGACAGGCTGATATGGGGTTAGCAGGTCACTGAGGTAGGAAGGAGCAAGGCCATGGAGGACGTTGAAGGTGAGGATGAGGATTTTAAACTCAGTCCTCTGGGAGATGGGGAGACGGTGGAGCCGGGTGAGGCTAGGGGTGACAGATAGAGTCACGGAGTCTGACACGGGAGAGGACACGATCTGCAACTTGTGGAGAGAAGAGTTGGGAAGGCCAACAAGCAGGGAGTTTGTGTAGTCAAGTCTAGATGTGATGAACGCATGAGTGAGGCAATGGCGGAGGTGGGGAAAGCAGAGGGGGTCATTGCACGGATGTGGCTCCCAAGTGTAGTGAATATTTTTGGAGGTTAACGTGTCAAAGCCATTTACACCAACAAGAGTCCCACCAACAGCCATATAGTAAATTATCAATTAATTTGGAGGATATGACACGTATGAACATTTTAGTATTATACTTTGAAAGAAAAAACCCGAGTAAACCAGTAATTGATTAAGTAGTGCTACATATTTGACTGTAAAAATATCATTGGTGATTTCTTGCAGTATGAGTATACTACTGTAAAATCACTTCAATGCAGGTACCTAAGTGTTTATGAACAGTACTTTTGGTTACAAAAGTTAAAGAAAACATGAAAAAAACATGAATTCAAAGATTCTTGGATGTATCTTTACAATGGTTTGTGGTCTTTTGTGGACCTCTTTTGTTTCTATAGATTGGCAAAGAAGCGAGCTTTGGTTTGTGAAAACACCTTATTCTTGTTAAGTTAGCTTGAGCAGCTGTATTGACATTGTTGTGGCCAATGTAGTCTAACATGAAAGCAATTAGCTGTATTTAGCATAGATTCAGTCTTGCACATGACAAGGCAGATCTTCATAGACACATGCCTGGCTCACCTCATCCATGAGAGTACATATGAAGCCATCAATTGGGTATTGAATCTGGGACCATTCAAGTCAATACCTTTGTCACCCAGCTGTTTACCAAACCATTGGAAGATCGTTGTAAAAAAAAGGTGTTTTGTACATATTTTGAAGGTTATAATTTCAAGTTCCTAATAACAGGTTCTTGTTCTCCAGTGTATTAAAAATCCAGTTTTCATTATACAAGAAATATTTGTCAAAAAATTAAGCAACCCCTTTAATGCGTGAAAACCTATTTGCTCCAGTGTTGTTTTAGGTGAAATACAATATTGTAGTACAAATATGAAAGTAATAACTTGCATTTTATAGTATCATGACATCCTGAAGTCTCAAACAGTTAATTACTGTCAAGTGTAGTGAATATTTTTGTAGGTTAACGCATCAAAGCCATTTGCACCAACGAGGGCCCCACAAACAGCCATGAGGTAAATTATCAATTAATCTGGAGGATGTGATATGTATGAACATTTTAGTATTATACTTGAAGAGAAGAAAACCTGAATAGACTAGTAATGTATGTCGGAAGTAAAAATATAGGAATACTGTATTTGTGTGTAGTAAGTTAAGGCTTATAATTGAAACGGGGAGGAGGAAATAAATGAAGATTTTAAATTTTTTGTGAAAATAATGTGAATAACCCAAATGTTGTGTGGGTTTTATTTATGCTACATAGTGTGCTCTACTATGTAGAAGTCTTATCTTTCTTTCTGCTTCTTAGATTGAGTTTTCAATCTCTCCTTCTGTGTAGCTGGGGTGTTTTTTAAATGGAAGAAATTACACATTTGAGTATTTCCAAAAAATCTATTTGGTTTTTTTAACTTATTGAGGGCCACAATGAACAATATTATTCCTTTAAACCACTGACTTTTATTTATTAAAAGTGGTGGATGTCACATTTTATCTGGATTTGAATGAAATTCTCTGCCGATATTCACATTCATGGACGATGAATTGTCAATTCTAGCTTAGTTACTCAGCACAGTAGGTTATACAGGGTTAGATGAAATTTGATGAAATTGACAAGATATCTGCAGGGATCCCAGATTGTGATGCATTTCAGCATTCCCCTACTGACTGCCTGAAAACTGGTACCGAATGTAAAATTAATTTACCTCCATTATTTCTGCTGAAGTCAAAGGTGGTACATTTATATACTTTACAGTGTAATCTGTGAAGCGCTTTGAGACATCTAGAAGACGTGAAAAGGCTAACAACCTGGTTCCTATTTACTGCTAGGCAAACAGAGACATGTGGAGTAAGGAAACTTGCTCAATGTTTTGTCCTGTCGAGAATCTAGTTCAGATTCTCTCGCTTGCGAGGGGAGTGCTCTAACCACTAAGCTTCAGGACTCCACATCTTTATTTCCATATACTTTATTTCAATATTTTTACACTTAAGAATATTTCAGTAGTTGTGAATTCTTGTGGGGAAAGTAGTTTTACATTCTATGCATATATGAAATTTATCAGCATGACTTAAATTTGTATTGCTCGTTCACAAAAAGTAAAGTAGCAGGAAGTTCTGACTAAAAATTCTTTGAGAAGTAATACATTTTGTACTTCTCTGTCTGTGCCTTCTTTCTTCGCAGTTTAACTAAATCAACTTTTTTTTTAAAAAAAGCGTATTGAAAAGAACAATCACTTTTTGCAGTGGCAGAAACATTTTCTATTTGCCACTTGCATTCTCAAGGTCTAATATTTATTTAGTAAATTTTAGTAAATTTCTCCAGGGTGGGATAAAAAAAAAGCTTTGTTTGTACTTGTGTAACATAAAGGTTGTTTCTGGGATGGTTGACAAGGTAACTGGCTTCTAGTTCAGACATAACAGGTCAGCGATGCTAATTTGATATTGCTGGGACCAGCAATGTCTCAGGTTCCAGTAGCCTGAGAAATGGTTTAATTAGAACTGACTCAAGTTGTCTGAGGGTACTCTATATGGGAGTAAGTTGTAACAATTCTTCTGATGGGTTTTCTTGCTCAAGGTTAGAATTAGCCCAAATTCTAAAAGTCTAAAGGTGATATAGTGTAACCACCTTTTATAGTGTGACCACTTTTTACATGCTGAAGTTGTAAAGTGTTGATCAGCCTTCTAAAAATAATCTGTTACATGTGCAATAATGATTAACAGCTTCTCTTTTATTCTCTTTCTCTAGAATGGGTACAAGTAATGCTGATATAACTTGGCTGCCTAACCGAAAATGTTTTTCCTACAAGATGGACAGTTTCAAGGCTGCTGAGATGAAGAGATCAACAAGGATATATTAAACTATGGGATCATGTACTTTATTTCTATGCATTTCATTGTAGCATAACTTTCCTGCTGAAAACCATGGCGATCTTTAATCCATGGAAGTTATCTTCACAAAAACTGGGATTATTTTTGGTAACCTTTGGCTTCATATGGGGTATGATGCTTCTTCATTTCACCATTCAGCAACAGACCCAACATGAAAGTAGTATTATACTTCGAGAGCAGATTCTAGATCTTAGTAAACGATACATCAAAGCATTAGCAGAAGAAAACCAAAATGTAGCAGATGGGCCGTATGTTGGTACAATGACTGCATATGGTAAGTTAAACTTGCTTGATCGGAAATGCTGTGATCCCAGTTTCTGAAATATCTGATGATGATGCTATTTCACAAAGTGAGCCCCGGATATACAGTGGAATCCACTTTTGCCGTACGCCGGTTAACCCCGAACGTTGGGTAAATCAAACAAAACCCCCAGCCCCGAATCATTTGTGTTCTTACCTGTTTTAAATATGTTGGTTGATTCGGATGAATATTCAGTTACTCCAGGCAAAATGTCACCCTGGTGGTTGCTGAATGTACTTTCTCGTGCTTTCTGTGTGTCCAGGGGCTGCATTCAGCCACATGAGTCTCCTGGGTGTAGATGGGAGGGGTCAAATTGCGATTGACAGCAGACTCCAGCCATTCACAAGCGGCTGGAGGTGGGCTGCCAATCAGTGAAGAGGCCAGGGAGGAACAGGGAAGAACAAGGGAGGGAAATGGAGTTTGATTGACAGTTGAGCAGTTTGTGAATGTGTCAAGTATCCATCCATTCACAAGCTGTCAATCAACACCACCGCTAATTGGTCCCCTTCCCATCCATGGGAACAGCAATGGGAGGGAGGAAGCCCCAAGCCGCTCCTCTGCTGGGTGGGAATGTGCTGCACTTTATTTTCCAGCCAAACAAAGGCAAATATATTTTACTGAATTCTGTGAGTATTTTAACTTTGACTAATTAGTTAACATTGCTTCAAGTGAAACAACATTATTACATATGCAGCATTGGCGGGGCTCCTTTGTTGGACGGAAATAATATTTGCATTTGATATAGTGCCTTATCACTTCTTCGAGACATCTCAAAGCGCTTCACAGAATATATTGTAAAGTGAATTGATTATATTTTGTGGGCAAAACGGTATTTCAAAATGGTATTTTCGATGTGTCCGTCTTAACTGCCTTCCACTTTACCTTTTTGATAAGATTTTTAATTCATTGTGATTTAATTACTTACCAGCCATCTTTTTTTAAAAAAAATCCAGTAGAAATTAATCTTAACTATTTTTATTGCAGCAGAAAAATCAGTAACTGAAGCATTTTTAAAAGTTTTTTTAAAAAAAGCTAAAATCCAGTGACATGCAAACAACAAAACCTAAAATATTAATAGTATTTAATCACGTTGAGGTTTCTTCAGACACTTCACAGGTTATTGCTATAAAGTTAGTACGTTTATAGCCAAATACAGAAGCTGTTTTTATCAGCAAGAGTTCCACAAATGGTCAGATGAACGACCAATTTGTTTGGAGGATTGTTGTCCAGAATACAAGGAGAAATTCCTTTCTCTTTTGAATAATGTCATATAATCATTAACATTCACCTGAACAGGGAGACAGATATTATCGAGAGTGGTTACCTCCAAGAATGCTGTATGTCTCCATTTCCCAATAATTGAGTGTTATCTTCGACCAGTGTGGTCCAACCGGTGGCATGCGGGTCACCAGTGGCCGTCTGAGGCTTTAATTCGGGTCAAGACCATTCCAACTTCCTCTCCCTCCACCCCCGGTGAACGTCCTGAGAGAGGAGAGAGGGATGGAGAGGAGAAAGTGTATGTGTGTGAGAGGAAAGAAAGGGAGAGAGAAAGAGAAAAAGCAACTGAGAAGGTGATTGAGAGAGGCAGAGCAGAGAGATTGAGGGGGAGTGAGAAGTGTGACCTCTCTCTCCCCAACTCCCCCCTCTCCCCAACTTCCCACTCTTCATAAGTGTCTTCATTTGTTTAAAAAAAACCTGTCTATTATTACTCAGGGTCTATTTTTTATTTTGTGGTTAAATCCTGATCTTACAAACCACATTTATACATGTTATACCAATATAATATCCTTGTTATCCATTGTATTTGTGCTGTCTTTAACAAGATTGTAAACATTGAATGAGGAATGCAATAGTTTAATTGAAATAATATTTTAACAGATTTGAAAAAAACACTGGCTGTACTCCTTGACAGCATTTTGCAACGCCTTGGAAAATTGGAATCTAAAGTTGACAATCTTGTATCAAATGGGACAGGAGTGAATTCTACCAATATTACAACTGTAAGTCCCAGCTCAGGCAACTCTGAAAAAGTCAATGTGGCAGGTGAGTCAAGGTTTTGTCTTCCTACACAATTTGTATTGCTCACTTTCTTTGGTGAATCATAAAATCACTTGAAGGAATACAAACAATTTTCCTTCCCATGTTTGACATGCTCTGGAATAAAGTATTTGAAAAGAATTGTTATGAGGGCATGATAGAAATTGAGGGCTTGTGTTTTTCTTTCACTATCCTAGGGGAACATCTAGGCAATAGTGATCATAACTTAATAAGGTTTAAGATAAAAATTGAGTAGGAGATGAGTATGACAAAGACCAGGGTAATAGATTGGAAAAAAAGCTGATTTTGAGGGGATGAGAACGGAACTTGAGAAAATAAATTGGAAAACAATATTGGCAAACAAAGAGATAGAGCAGCAGTGGGAAACATTTAAAATAGTGATCAATAGAGTCCAGGAGAAATATATTCTGCTAAAAAGCAAGACAAAGCTAAAATAATAATGAGACACCATGGATGAATAAAGACATAAGGGCAAAGTTGAGACTCAGGAAAGAGGCGTTCACTAAGTACGTAAACAATAAGGGAGAGCATGACAAAAAAGAATACGAAGAGGTCAGGAAAATAGTCNAAAAAACAATTAGGAAGTCAAAGAGGAATTATGAAATTAAGTTAACAAGGAATATAAAAAGAAATAGTAAAATATTCTACAGACATAAATAACAAAAGAAAAATAGAAATTGGGCCACTAAGGGATGGACAAGATAAATTCACAGGCTGCGACAGCGAAATGGCAAAATTATTAAATAATTACTTTGCTTCAGTACTCACCAGGGAGACGGATCAGGTGGACATGACAGTAGAAGAGATCGAAAATAATATAAATACATTTAAGGTATAAAGGGGAGATATAATAGAAAAACTAAGAAAACTCAGAGAGGATAAAACACCTGGTCCAGATGGATTGCATCCGCGTATATTAAACAAAATTGAGGGAAGAGATAACAGAGGCACTATTATAATAATAATCCTTGCATTTGATATAACGCCTTATCACATCTTCAAGACGTCTCAACGCACTTCACAGAATATACTGTAAAGTGAATTGACCGTATATCTTGTGGGCGAAATGCGGCAGTCAATTGCGCACAGCAGTGTCCCACAAACAGTCATGCATTGAGTGATCAAATTCTTCTTANTTTTTTCTTTCTCCATCCGGGCACCGAATTTGGCTGCAACGTAACTTCACAGAAGTGGGATGGGTTCCTGAGCTGTGTTGTGGGAGATTAAAATGAAAGACCCATGTGAATATCTGCAGAATTCAATATTGGCCAAACCTTTTACTTATCCTGGAAATTGGACCCCGTTATAATATAAAGTTAGGCGAGAGGAGTTCTCTTCATGCCCGGAATTAACCCCTTCCTCTTTCTTCGTACCAGGGTACCTGTACAAACGACATACAAAATAATGGATTGCTTGGTATTCTTTGCATGTCGCGAGTATTTAGACACAATGCTTCATTGAATTCAGTGCCTCTTTGAGATAACATTCTGTCCTTGGGCTTTGCATAACAACTGGATTTCTGCCCATCAACTTCACACAGTGTTAGATTGAAAGTTCCTTTCTCAATTGCCCAAGGTTTGGAAAGTTGAACTAAGGAAATGAGAACATGGCATTATTAGGTTTCCTAATAGGCAGTATTAGAAACATATACCAGACACAGGCAGGCTAAGATATAACTGCTGGCTAAGATGTAACTATTACACATATATAATAACTCATTAGAAAAGGGAATAGTGCCAGAGGACTGGAGGATAGCTAATGTTATACCTATATTTAAAAAGCGAGATAGAACAAGCCCAGGGAGCTATAGACCTGTCAGCTTAACATCGGTGGTAAGAAAGATAATGGAATCCTTATTGAAGGAGGTGATAGAAAAACATCTAGAAGCAGAAAACATAATAAAGACTAGTTAGCACGGAATTCAAAAACGAAGTCATGCTTGACCAACCTCATTGAATTCTTTGAAGGGGTAACAGAAAGAGTAGACAAGGGTAATGCGGTAGATGTAATATATTTAGATTTCCAAAAGGCGTTCGATAACGTATTATATAGTAGACTTATGAATAAGGGCAGAGCATATGGAGTCAGGGCAAAAATAGCAGCAGCAAGTTGGCTGCAAAACAGAAAACAGAGAGTAGGGGTAAAGAGTAGCTACTCAGACTGGCAGGGGATGGGCAGTGGTGTTTCACAAGGATCGGTGTTTGGACCACTGTTGTGCACATTATACATTAATGATTAGATAGAGGGAGGGTGATAGAATAGAAGGTTATGCTTGAAGGCTAAGTTGAGGAAGGGCAGGAGGAGGCTCATGTGGATCATAAACACCGGCATAGACCAGTTGGGCCGAATGGCATGGTGCTGTGTATTTTAATTTATCCTTTTTCTCTTCCCTAACTCACCATCAATTTGCTTAACATTCGAGCATTCCCTAAAATAATTTTATCCAGGGAAATTGTTAGCTTTTTTTGCTAGAATATCCAACTCTAATGGCCACAAAAATCACTTTAAATTTACAGGGATTAACCACTTTTATGTTAAAGAATTTAGGCTCTTTACAATTTTGTTTCTGTAACGGTGTATTTTACAGAAGGCCACAAAGTTTTGAAGCTACAATATAACTGCAGATGGTATAGCTAAACAGTGACAATTACCATCCTCACTGGTACATCACATTACACATGGTGCTGTAACCAGTGCACTGGATGAATACTGATGAAGGTTGCCTACTCAAGGCAGACAGGCCGTGACTTTCAAGCCATTGATCTACCAGTTAACCAGCTGTTTTTAAAAGCCTGTAATAAATTTAGTGTTGTCAGCAGCACAGCTTAATGATCTTTCATATAAGTTATGCTCAGTAGTTTCTAAGATAAGATAGCAGCATTTAGTACAGCCAAAATTATTTTAAATTGAGACAATTTATGACCATATAAATGAACTGCAAGATGCAGAGTGAAAAGTAATTTAGGTGATACGATTCAATGATGCAGTATTATGAAAAATTGTGTTCCAGTTCATAGAACTGTTTAATTAGACCAGGTAATGAAGAAGAAGCAACAGAAGGATTTGGCTAGCCTCAAATATTTCAGACAATGGAAGAAGTAAAAAAAGACTTACTCAGAACATTTTTCTTGGAAATTGAAAGAGGGAAGTAAGTGCATGTAATGCATAAAATGTTTAATATGGAGGACATTTTTTGTCCCAATTAGAGGTACTTTTAAAAAAAAGACTAAATGTAAACCAGTTAAGAAAAACTGTATTGCATACCATACAACACCTGATCATTAACAAAACTTGCAAAAAAAACATATATTGTCCAACTTCTTGTTCAATGTACCGAATAGTTTGCCTTTATTACCACCTAGCAGACTGCTCCAAATGCATATCACTCATAAGTGAAATTGTTTGTAAATATGTATGGGGTTGTTCATCACTGCGACGATGGGTCAAGACTACATTTCCTGTGATTCAACCCGTCACCACATGTGCACTTAACGGCAAGCATTGGAACTGCATTGAATTGCAGGAAATTAAGTTCTTCTGCGTATGCATCAACGGGTCAGGACATCATTTTCTGTGATTCAATGCAACCACAAAGTGTGGGAATAATGGAAGGTAGGGGAGAGGAGTTATGAGTTAGGAGGTGATAAATACGACTAGTGCAAAAAACATCTGACAAGTTTTTAAACTGAATGGGACTCAGGTGGATGTATGATTTAGGCAATTATATGATTTAGAAAGATAAGACTTGTTAATTTTACTGTGAACTTTATTTAAAATTATGCTTTTGGCTAACAATGATTTCACATTTACTTATTATGCACAATATTAAGTACAGAGCTGGATAGTGTCTTATTAACAGAATATGGAAATTTCTTTGAATAAAGAACTGAAATAAATAAATTCCCACATTGTGTTGCGTGTTATTGAGTAGATAATAATTATTGTTCTTTTTCTGTCATGCCCTCTAGTATAATTTAACGTCTTATAATTTCTTTGCAGATCTTATTAATGGAGCCCAGGAACGGTGTGAATTGCCGCCTATGGATGGCTTCCCCCACTGTGAGGGAAAATTGAAGGTAAACCAAAAAAGAAACTGAAGAATTTCAATTCTATTTTAATATTTTCAGACAGTTTATTAATTTCCAATGTGACACTTTTGGCCACTCCATTCTCCTTCATTGCCTTCTCCGTCATGTGTGTCACTGCTTTCTTTCGTTCTATTCCTTCCTGTCCCAATGCCATCACTGCATCTTCTCCAGGTAGTAGAATAGAATCAAGGATAATTTTTGAAAGGTAGAGATGAATATCATCAGCATACCAATTGAAAGTATTTCCTATGATTGTGAATATCACCAAGAACACAGGAAGACTAGCAGGAGAGGATGAAATATAGAGCTCTTTGCATAGAAATTGAACAAGATCTCACTTAAACACAGTCTCACAAATAGGAGTATCTCTTGCAATTCCTACGGCTGTGATTGTAGCTTTGCGAAATTTTGTTTAGATTGAGGGATCATCCTATGTTTTTAAAAAGGGAGTTTGCTAACTTGTTTTGATCTCAACCTGGTCCCTTGTGCATTTAGAGATGTAATGTAAATTTTAGTGCACTAGAAACTGCTTGGCAGTATTTTTTGTCAACCAGCAGGTTTGTAATCTCTATACACACCAGTTGTTGTTTAGCTATCTCTATAATGAACCACAATTGAACAGTTCTCGGGCTTCTTTTAAATTCCTCTATTCCAGCCTATCTTCTCTTAACAATAAAGTCAGTTCATGGACGTTCAGTCATTTCTGTTCCATAAATAGTGCTTAGAATTTGAACCTTGCTAAAACTTGTCCAAGCCATTTGAACATTTTACGTTTTTGTCAGTTTCTTGCAATAAAACCATTACTCAATAAAATAATAAAAATACCTGATTTTTCTTGTAAGAGTATTTATGGCAAAAATACCATCAGTTTCATTTATCCTAAATAGCATTACTAGTATTTCACCAGCTTTTACAAGCCATTACTGCTGTGTTGTTTTTCCCAGAGAAAAAAATATTCATGGAACAAGAAGCATTGGCCATTCATAAATTTGACTTTTGATAGGAACAGATGTACGGAATAAGACAATAATCTCTTAATTTCTCTCCAGAATGTCCAGAATACAAAAATGTATTCAGTTTGTTTTGCTGTTCTCTTTTATAGTGGATGAAGACCATGTGGCGGTCAGATCCTTGCTATGCCAGTTATGGTGTGGATGGGTCCATATGCTCATTTTTTATTTACCTCAGTGAGGTCAGTTGGCAATTCGTTTACATGTTTTACGTTTTGATAAAACTCATCATGCAGTGTTCATATATGTACAATCATGTAGATAATTTAGAATGTTTGTTTTTAGTACATAATAGCTCAAATTACTTTTCCATTCCCAAGTATAGGTTGAAAATTGGTGTCCTCCTCTACTTTGGAGAACGAAGAGCCTTCGTGAAGAATCTGACCCACAGAGCTTGGTTAGTATTGAAAGTGTGGGGTATTCATTTAGTTGACACAACGTAACACTTAATCCTCATTAGAATTCTGCACATAGGTCTACCATTTCCTGAAGACATACACATCTATTACTATTTATGATCTTTATCTTTAATGCAGCACATTAAATCTTGGTATGCATTGATCAATGAAGTTCAAATTCACCCACTTTTGTGGATTACAGTGTACTCAATAATCTCATACAATCTGCTCTCTCCAAGTTTAGTGTTAAGAAGCAGTCACTAATTTGTGAAATTTCTTGTACATCCACCCCTACCTACTTTCTGTTCCCCAATAGAACAATTAAGAAATTGAAATTCCCTTTGGTTATGACATTAGAATTTCCTGTAAGATTTTCTTCTTGTACAACCCCTATTTGTTTTGGAAGTTGATAGGAGTCAGTTACTGTTTTATTATCATTACTAATTTCTATCCTGATTGATTTATCCATCTTTTGTTACTTCTCCCTCAATAGTTGTTTTGATTATGATAGAGATACGGGGCTTATTGTTGATAAATTAGTCAATCTAAGCAGCAAAATTATTTCAGGAACTTGTGAGGAAAAGGTGGACTCTTTCTCTTTGGAAAAGAGGTGGAGGTGATTTCATATGTGTGAAGGGGATTCATTTAAATATTTTAAAAAAGTGCAATATGATGAAAATATTAACAGAGGGGAATAAGCTAAATGTTGAGAATGTTATGAGTAAGGGGGAAATCAGGTCAACTGTTACATAATGGGTTATAGTCTTCTACAATACATAATCTTGGAGGGAGCCCAAGTAACAAAACATAAACAAAACATGCAAGCGAGAGACCTGAGTTCAATTCCAGGCAGGGCGAAACCTCGGGCAAGTTTCCTTACTCCACACAGAGTCTAATAATAATCCCTCCAAAACCAATAATAAATTGGTCATTTTCAATCTACGACTGTTTGTGGGACATTGCTGTGCGCAATTGGCTGCCGCGTTCGCCCACAAATATACAGTCAATTCACTTTACAGTGTGTTCTGTGAAGTGCTTTGGGACGTCCTCCCGACGTGAAAAGCGCTATATCAAATGCAAGGATTATTATTATTATATTATAAAGGGCTCGAGACACTTCGGGACTAGGTGCCCGAGAAGCAGAAAGGATAGTAGAATGTGATCAGAGGTGAGCACATGGGTTTAAAAAAAAGTTGAACATTCTCAAATTTTTTCTGTTGTAAAAGTTTATGATGGAAAGTCTCAGAAGTTGAAGGATTTCTGTGTGAGATTTACAATGAATAAATGTGCATGTAAAACTAATGGATGCTGTTTCTTAAGTGTGTGCTTCAATAATAAGTGAATAATTAAAAGTATCTTTTTACCATAGGCTGAAATTCGCACAGATTTTAATGACCTCTTTAAAGTGTTGTCCATACATGAGGAATTTCGTTGGATGCGGCTCAGAATAAATCGAATGGCAAGTGCCTGGATTGAAGCAATTAAATCACTTGCAGAAAAGAAAAATCTAGAAAACAGAAGACATAAAAAGGTTTGTCCTGTAACAGTGTAAATTATTGTAATCTATTAGTTTTTTAAAGCAGTTATTCTAGATAAACCTAATGCCTTAATATTAATAGATCAATATTTAAATGGAATTGCAAGTAGAATTTACTGCCTCCTTTTCTATATTACCATTTCAGAATATCAACACGGAAATTCTTTTATATAAAAAAAAGTATGAACTTGTTCCTACTCCTTAATTGAGGAATCTTAAATGGTGCTTATTTTGTGAAATTAATCTCCCCAAATATATAAAACTGGGAAGTGTGGAAGACTTGATTTTCCCATAATGTGGTTGTTATAACTTTTGTGTCCTCCTCTAAGTACTGTGGTGAAAACGGAGCCACCCATGGAGGGCCTTATCTCTAAATCTCAACTGAAATGCGCCAAATGCTTTAGGTCCATTAATTCATCCAAATCTGAATAGAATGAATTCCTAGAGTTTAGTGGGTTTTATTCTCAATTTAATTTACCAAATGAAAATGCTGTTAAGATCTCTTAGTATTTTCCTTAAGAACATTTCAGCCTTACTCTTAAAATAGTTTATGTTGGTGTATGTAATTTTATTTTCAGATTCTCCTCCATCTGGGACTTTTGACGAAGGAATCGGGATTTAAAATTGCAGAGAATGCTTTCAGTGGTGGTCCTCTTGGTGAATTAGTACAGTGGAGTGATTTGATTACAACACTGTACCTACTAGGTCATGACATAAGGATTTCAGCGTCACTGGCTGAGCTGAAAGAGTAAGCAGATAAAATGTATCCATCTTGCTGTATAAAACCTAAAATACTAAACTTCAATGCCACATTAATACTGTATGTTGTAACTAACACCACAGGTATAAATATAAAACAATTCAAAGTGCTAAATTCCAAATTGAGAAATATATTTCAGATTCCTTGGTGCAGCACTATTTTAAGTTCTACATTTTGTTCTAGTGCAGTCTGCAGGTAAATTCTCAGCAACTTAAGTTTGTAAATTTCTCAATGCTATTAATGTTTATGGATGAAGAAGACCCTTCTGTCTGTTTGATCTCATTTTTGCTGAATACTCGCACATTGACAGGATCAAACCTTCTTTAATTAGATCCAACATCTGATCTCTGCCACTTTCCTGATGACATGTTTCCCTGTATGTAATACCGCGCAACTGCATTTGTTTAAATGACCGTCTATCTCAGTATTGAGATGGTGTAGATAAACTGCTTGATCTGTTTGTTATTTATAAAACCATCTACCCTTTACATGATGAATTCCCAATTGATGGGCTGCTGGATTATGAGACTAGAACCTTGAAGCTATTTCATGGTGTTCACCCAGAAAGGATGCAGCAAACCAGACATGTTCTCACATTCCCATGAGTGACTAGTCATTCGTGCAAATACAATAATACGTCTCATTTGCTGAATTGATTTGCCCTGAAGTTCTGAAGGTTGCAAACACAACTAGTGGCATTGTTTCCAGGATAGAAATCAGCTTTCATACCAATTCAAAATTGTTCTGTGAATTATTCTAAAGTTACTTTTGGAAATGGGAATAAGTGGCAAAACCACAGTAAGCTTCCGGGAAGGAAGTTCCAATCTGAATGTTTTCATGTGGATAATAAAATTGAGAATTCTACAACAATAATATCAGCAGAATAATTTTTTGTTACAAAAAGCCGTACTTTTAAAAACAAAAATACGTTCTGAACTGATTTCCCTTTAATGTATTGCAACATCAAATAAACTGTGTTTACTTTGTAGGATAATGAAGAAAGTCATGGGTAATAGATCAGGTTGCCCTACTCGTGGTGATAAAGTAGTGGAACTAATCTACATTGATATTGTTGGTCTGACGCAATTTAAGAAAACACTAGGTCCCTCTTGGGTTCATTATCAGTAAGTATTCCCCTGCAAAATTCTTTTGTTGTTGTTCTTGCTTCTTTCATGGCTAAGAAAGAGGCAGTACATTTGCTTGACTTGTTATGCACATTTATGTAAATTTGCTTGACTTTTTATGCACATTTATGTAAACTATTCAGTTATAATGTCTGCTTGGCTCAATTGATAATACTGTCACCTCTAGGTCCGAAGATTGTGGGGTCAAGCATCGCATCGTTTTTTTGACACCCCGATGCATACTGAGGGAGTATAGCATTGTCGGAGGTGTCATCTTTCAGATTAGATGTTAACTCAAGGTGCTGTCTGCCTGTCTGACTTTTAAAGATCCATTGATGCTATTCAAAAAGAGAAAGGAGTTTCTCCCGGTATCTTGCCCAGCAATCCTCCAAATAAACCATTAAATTTTAGCCTGTTTCTTGGATATTCCTATCAAACCAAATTGTTCTACTTAATCCTTCATCTGACTTAATCTGTTAACAAATAAACATCAAGAATATGTACTGCACTGGTTGTTGGCATCCCGATTCCTGGAACTAACACAGAAAACTGAATTAGTCACTTAGAAAATCAAAGTAAATGTTTTTAAATAATGCTACCAAGGCAGCATTCCTGCTTTACAGTTAATGGTTTATTTTAGAATTTTTTTCTCTCTTACAATCCTTTTATAGGGTACCCTCATTTTAATTGGTGACAGTTGGATGACTTCTATTCGAGGGAAAGTAACCTTCTGATCTATTGGTTTAAACCTAGCCAGAAAGGCTGGGAATCTTAGAAGATTGATCATATTTTTGTTGCATATTGAGCCATATTCTGTTTATCTGAATTGATCAAATTCCCATAATCACATTTGCTCAATCAATGATCTTATGACATTTAGATTCCATAAACTATATTGAAGTTTTATCCATAAATCCATACTTAACATGGGTACTTATGAAACATCATTATATTAAGGGACATATTCCAAATTAGCTGGAAAAGGGTTGAGAGCGACTTGGGATCTGATGACTTTTTGATTATTTAAGCCAGGATTTTTTCTTCAACTGTGCCTTCAGCTCCCCTCTTGACTCTCTACCCCCTCCACGCTCCCTCCCTTCCCTCCCCTCACCCTGACCATTTCCCCCCTACTCAGGTCCCAATCCAACTGTCCAGCGCCTTGGGACGTCCTCCCGACGTAAAAGGTGCTCCATAAATGCAATCTTCTTGTTGTTGTTGTTGTAGTTAAATTTGTTGTTCTGTTTTCTTCTTTCCCCTATCAACCTCCCCACATAGATGTATGCTTCGAGTTCTGGATTCATTTGGGACAGAACCAGAATTTAACAGTGCTCAATATGCCCAATCTAAGGGTCATAAGACACCTTGGGGTAAATGGAACCTCAATCCACAGCAGTTCTACACAATGTTTCGTAAGTAATTTGTTCTCTATTTGCATTAGTAAAAAGGAGTGGGTAAAAGTTTAGTATAACATCAACAGATATTGTGAAAGTGTAAAAGAGAAGAAGCATTTGAGGAAGGAAAGATGAACATGAATAAAATGAGATAAGAGACTTTAAAAGGCAGATTGAGAAACTTGCAAAGCAACTGAAACGATGATTAAATTGTTGACGTCTGAAAGATTAAAAATGGCCAAGCTCTGCTAAAGGATTTGTAGCCAAAGGAAGAATTAATAGTGCAAGAGTTCACATGTGTATGTTAGATACAAGAATTTCTGTTACTTCTTTTAAGATGTTTTGTAGCTCTGAATTGCACATTAGAAGGCACATGGCAGTAGCTCGTGTATTGGTCTTTTTATAACACCTGCCTATGATATGGCTAAGATTGGAATTTTAATCACAATGTGATCCAACCTCCAACAGTGCTTTAATGTTTTAAGCAATGTTGTCACTATTCTGCCTTCTGAAAGAGTTTTTTGTGCAATAGTTTTTACAAATCACACTCGCTGTGATATATTTTGAAAGGTTGACAGCAGTGACACTAAAAGGCACTGCTGTCTGTAAAATGAATGACTTTTTAAAAATAAACCATAAAACCATGCACTGATGGTTTTAGATGAGCAAATAAATCATTTATACTTGGTTTACAAGAGTATTTACTAAAAAGAAAAGACTATCAACATGTATGCAATTGATGTTTGTAGGAATGCAGATTTCATTCAAGTGAATATTTGTTGAAGTTTAATTTTTCTAGTCATCATTTTGGAGAAATTACCTGTTTAAATAAGTTAAGTTCTGAAAGTCCAGTTAGTATGTTTTGGTTGGCTCATCACCTGGACTAATAGAAAAGGGAGGCCGCAGTTTCTGCTACAATGCCCTCTTTTGCTACAAACCCGCAATAAGTGTAGCTTCGGGCCCGCGGGGCCACTTGCTCAGTTTACCTGACATCACTGTGGGCGGGACAGCTCTGGATGCACATGCACGATGCAGCGCAAGCGGCAAATGGGCTACACACAGAGGCTCCACTGTTGTGATTGTCAGTGTATGTGTCTCTATGTGCGTGTGTCTGTGTCTCTTCTATATGTGTGTGTATTTATGAATGTCTCTGTGTGAATGTGTGTCTGTGTTTGTACGTCTCTTTGTGTCTGAGTGTGTGTTTGTGGGTCTCTCCTCTCTGAGAATCTTTCTGCGTCCTTGAGCGCGTGCCTCCCTGCGCCTGTGAGCGCGCGCGCGCGTGCCTCCCTGCACCTGTGTTTTTACAACAACCTAATATGTGTTTTTCTTGTTTAGTTTTTTATCTTTATAAAGTGATACGGCGCTATATCAAAGACAAAGATTATTATTATGTGCAACCAGTCTTTGAAATTTAATCTGTGATCCCATTGGCTGCGGAGACAAAAAAAGATGTTATTGATTTGCGCAAGCCAGAGAGATAGTTGCTACAAAAGCTTTGGGGAAGGTACCAACTGGCACCATTGAAAGGAATGTAGTTTGTGAATTTAAAACTACTGCAAGGTTGTGTTCAATTGATTCTGATATTGGAGAACAGTTTCAATCTAAATGTGGAATTAGCTGACTGCTAGCCAGATGACCTCTATAATTATGCTGAGATGCAAAATGGGTACCGGCTTTTTAAAAATGAGTAGGTTGTGTGTTCCAAAAACTCACAGAACAAATTGTAGGGTTAAAGTAGTACAATTATTGGTTGGAAAGTATATATTAATAAATGTTTGAAGAGTGCTTGTAGTTTTGCTGTTGAATATGAAGAAATGGCAAAAACATGGATGAATAGTGATATCTTTCACGCTTGGCTGAAAGACGAGTTGCAGCCATCTATATTTCAGATTCACTTCAAATGCCAGCTGCTCATCTGCTGGTACAATTGGTTTCTGCAGCAGCAAACAAACAATTGTGCATGTCAAGTTGTGAAATTCCCAAACGTGTAACTTTCAGTTTTGGCCAGCAAATAAGCTGGTACCCATCTTGCATCTCAGCATAGTTATTATTAATAATATTAGTATCTTATCATCGAGACATCTCAAAGCGCTTCACAAGATATACTGTAATACAACAACTTGCATTTATATAGTGCCCTTCACATGGGGTAGCATCCTGGGCTGCTTAACAGAGGCGGGGTCTGGCCGAGCCAGCGGGAGAGGGAGTGGGGAGGTGACCGTAAGCACAATACAAAAAGGTCTTTAGGCGGGATTTGAAAATGGGGAGGGAGGGGGCAACACAGTGGGATTGAGGTAGAGAGTTCTTGAGTTTCGGGGTGTAGTGGATAAAGGCACAGCCACCGATGGTGGAACGGAGGGCACAAAGGGCAAACAGGAGGCCAGAGCCAACCAAGCAGAGGCAGTGGATGGTGGAGTGGGGGGAAAGCAAATTTGATAGGTAGGGAAGTGAGGGCATGAAGGGATTTGAAAACGAATGAGAGGATCTTAAAATCGATCTTGTAGTCTTGTAACTAAGTGGTTAGAGCCCTTGCCTCGCAAGTGAGAAACTTTGGTTTGATTCCCGACAGGGCGAAATGTTGGGCAAGTTTCCTTACGCCACATGCCTTTGTTTACCTAGCAATAAGTAGGAACCCAGTTGTTAGTCGATTGGCAGATCGCTTTTCTGGGGGTAATAATTCTTTCAAAATAATAATAAATTGGTTACGTCAATCCACGACTGTTTGTCGAACACTGCTGTGCACAATTGGCTGCCGTGTTTCGCCCACAAAATATACAGTCAATTCACTTTACAGTATATTCTGTGAAGTGCTTTGAGACTTCTCGAAGACGTGATAAGGCGCTATTTCAAATGCAAGGATTATTATTGTTGTAATGTGTGTATTTTGTGGGCGAAATGTGACAGCCATTGCAATGGTCCACAAACAGCTATGAGTGACCAATTTTTTTATTTGGGGGATTTGTTGGCCAGGACACTGGGAGAACCTCCCTTTTCTTTTCGAATAGTGCCATGCGATTTTCAACATCCAGCTGAAATAGCAAACGCGACTTCAGTTTAAAGTCTCATACGATCATCTGGCAAGCAATCAGCTAATTACTGTATATTGAATTATATTTACTATTGAAGCTGCTCCCTGTACCAGATGCTGAAACACCACACTATCCAGAGGGGCAAAACTGCTAGCTCCCATAACTCAAATGACCAGACTCTGCATTCAGCCTGTCAGGGCCAGCTGGCACTGCTGGAGGCAATAATTGTCCGTTGTTTACTGCTTCAAGCAGCATTGGTGGGGAAACAGCCTTTGAGGCAACTGTGACTAAAATCAAGGCTTCTGATGACAGCATTGCTGCAAGGTGAATGCATGCTTCTTAATCAAATAAGAAAGAACAGAAGAAAACATTTTAATGTTAACACACAACTGCCCTTCAAATAAAACCTGTGAAGTACTTTTTTTTCCATTTGCAACCGAATCCAACAGCAGTCATACAATGCACAGATCAGTGGGGTTTCAAAATTGAAATTTTTATCAGTTTTTTTCTGAATCATTGATTTGTCATTATTAATGTACATTAATGTGAAGGAAGAGTGGCTGATTAAAAGTCATGGATACTGTGAACACATTAAGTGAGATGTAAAATGGGACACAGTTGGAAGGCAGGCTTGGAGTGTAAAATTGAAACATTTGAAAGGCGATGTCTAACCTCCAAACAACAAGATCTGTATGTATTTTTCAATCGTGGTTATTGCACAATAGTATTTGGGAATGGTGGAAGGTTTATCTTGCCCTCCTCCCCCACCTGAGGTTCCAAATAATACTTGTGGAGACTGATGCGGGCTAAATACAACTACTTGAAATTTAGACAATTATTGAATCAATTGCAAGCTTCTGAAGTTGTTCATTACTCAATGGAACCAAGCTTGGATACCTTAGCAGTGGAAAATGTCTAATAGGCCTGTTTTGGTTCTTTTCAAATCTTTTTTTTCCGTGCATTATTTGTAACTAAATAGCTACCAGATTTGTACCCACCTGCTATCATAGTGGGATTTTAATTCTAAGTAAAACGTATTTGATCTTTGTTTTTTGCAATTTTAATGTTTGGTGATATCTGTTGATCAACCTTCACATATCTTTGCATATGACAAATGTGTTTGTCTTTGAAATGTTTCACTACACAGCTGTTTAAAGAGAAGGCTTGATTTTTCACACCGCTTCCTCATCTAGATGTCACATTCTGACCTGGTAGTGTACATATTGCAGCGATCCTGGGGTTTGTGACATTGATTGAGAATTTTAAAGAAAATCCTCCCTGAAGCTTCATAATCTTTTTTTTAAAAAACGATTGCTATCATAATCTTTTTTAAAAAAACACAGGTTTTGTATTATGACTAAAATATAGTTTGAATCTATCAGTTATAATTTACCAAAATTATCATGTTTTCTTAAAATGTGAATTGAAGCTGATTTGAACATATTGTTCTAATCTGACTCATTATTGACACAGACTGCACATGCTGATGTGGCTCAGCAGCAAAGCAGATGGCTTATCCCTGCTAAGTTCAGTATGTTTGAAAGTTGAAAGATTTATATGGAATTATTAAGATTATTCCAGGTAATCTCCAACACTATTCTAGAAGTTTTAAATTAAGATTGACAGAAACATTCAATAATGGATGAAAGGGTGGAGGATAAAAGGGCAACACCTGAATGAACGTTGATTCAAGACATGCAATTAATTTCAGGGGTTAGCAAAGAATGATATATGATCAGCTTGTTTCCCAATCCTGGTTTATTTAATGAGATATTAAATGCAGTCCAAAAAGGCTACAGATGAACGGTAAAATTCTTTCCTGCAAACTGTTTTTGTGGTAGAATCCATAATTGTTTCAAAAGAGAATGGATAGATGCTCGGAAAAGATATGTAGAATGAGCAGTGGGATTTGATTAGGTGGCTCATGTGGAGAGAAATACCAGCACATTTGGTCAAATTACTTCTTTCTGTGTTGTAACAAAATCCTGTGACGGACTTAAAAGACGTTTCAATGGCAAAATAGATCAAATGCAAGGATTATTATTCACACATCTATTCTTTCAACTAAACTGTTTCTTCCTTTGCAGCACACACACCTGATAACAGCTTCCTTGGGTTTGTGGTTGAACAGCATCTTAATGCCAGTGATATTAGTCATCTCGAGGATATCAAAAGACAGAATCAGTCTCTTGTTTATGGAAAAGTAGATCATTTTTGGAAGGTAAGCAGTATATTCAACAATTGTCAAAGGACAAAGTATTACAGATGCTGGAAATCTGGTGTATAAACACAGAAGTCGCTGGGAACACGCAGCAGATCAGGCAGGATCGCTTTTCCGGGGGTTATAATTCCTTCAAAATAAATAAAAATATTTGGTCACTCAATCCACGACTTTGTGAGACACTTGTTTGCAACTGGCTGCCACGTTTCGCCCACAAAATGTACAGTCAATTCACTTTACAGTATATTCTGTGAAGCGCTTTGAGACGTCTCGAAGATGTGATAAGGCATTAGCCAGTTTTAAAAGCTTAATATTGGACCACTGCAGTACGTGTTAATTTTTGAAAGAAAAAACCTCTCTATCCTCCTCAGTTCCCCACAAAGATCTGTTCCTGGAACCTTGCGATTGTCACTCACTCTATGCTACTGTTAACTAGCACAGAATAGCAGCCTGGGAGTGAAGGTTAAGTATAGACCTAGGGAATTGTCCGTTTTCTTCAGTGTGCCAACCTAGCAGCAAATGCTTGAACATTATGGTTAATTGGTTTTAATTTGTTTCTATAATTAAGGTCAACAGATAAATATTTGAACACTGAATCTGTATTGCAATGTACTAGGCCAATGTTTGTTTTCCACATCTTTGTGAATTTTCTAAAATTACCTTCATTAGATTTCCCAAGCCCTTTCTGAAAGTATCAGTATTAAATAATATAATACGGTAGGTAGTCTCAACCTTAAAATTGAGGGTATATATTGAGTTTAAATTACTGGTAACTGGACCAAAAGAGTGAGATATTCATTCACCACATTGTAGTAAAGGCTAAAACTTATTCCAGATACATTTGCATTGCTTGTCAGAGATTTTAAAGCAGAATCCTTCTTCATGAATTTAGTTTTGTGCATTTCTTAAGCTTTCTTTGTAGTGTTGCCAAATGTGAAGGGTCCTGTAAAGCCTGAAGTGCTGCATAATATCGTGGTGTCCATTTGTGCCCTTTGAGCTTTGGATAGATTCCATCAAACTGTAGATTGTTGATTGCCAATATCTGCGTTCTGTACTTAGAAAATTAGCATTAGCTGTTAATGAATTTAACACACACTCCGAGACCCAGAGAGAAAAGCACACACTCACAGAGACCCAGAGAGAAAAACACATTCAGAGACCCAGAGAGACACACACACACACACTCCGAGACCCAGAGAGAGAGACACACACACACTCCGAGACCCAGAGAGAGAGACACACACACTCCGAGACCCAGAGAGAGAGACACACACACACTCCGAGACCCAGAGAGAGACACACACACTCAGAGACCCAGAGAGAGACACACACACACACACACACTCCGAGACCCAGAGAGAAAAGCATACACTCAGAGACCCAGGGAGAGACGCACACACACTACGAGACCCAGAGAGAGAAGCACACTCCGAGACCCAGAGAGAGAGACACACACTCCGAGACCCAGAGAGACACACACACGCTCAGAGACCCAGAGAGACACACACACGCTCAGAGACCCAGAGAGAGACACACACACGCTCAGAGACCCAGAGGGAGACACACACACGCTCAGAGACCCAGAGGGAGACACACACACACGCTCAGAGACCCAGAGGGAGACACACACACGCTCAGAGACCCAGAGAGTGACACACACACGCTCAGAGACCCAGAGAGTGACACACACACACTCCGAGACCCAGAGAGAGACACACACACACACACACTCCGAGACCCAGAGAGAGACACACACACACACACTCCGAGACCCAGAGAGAGACACACACACGCTCAGAGACCCAGAGAGAGACACACACGCTCAGAGACCCAGAGAGTGACACACACACACTCCGAGACCCAGAGAGAGAGAGACACACACACACACACACACACACACACTCCGAGACCCAGAGAGAGACACACACACACACACACACACACTCCGAGACCCAGAGAGAGACACACACACACACTCCGAGACCCAGAGAGAGACACACACACACTCAGAGACCCAGAGAGAGACACACACACACACTCAGAGACCCAGAGAGAGACACACACACACTCAGAGACCCAGAGAGAGACACACACACACTCAGAGACCCAGAGAGAGACACACACACACTCAGAGACCCAGAGAGAGACACACACACACTCAGAGACCCAGAGAGAGACACACACACACTCAGAGACCCAGAGAGAGACACACACACACTCCGCGACCCAGAGAGAGACACACACACACTCCGCGACCCAGAGAGAGACGCACACACACTCAGAGCCCCAGAGAGAGACGCACACACAGACACACACACTCAGAGCCCCAGAGAGAGACGCACACACACACTCAAAGCCCCAGAGAGAGACACACACACACACTCAAAGCCCCAGAGAGAGACACACACTCCCGAGACCCAGAGAGAGAGACACACACACACACTCCGAGACCCAGAGAGAGAGACACACACACACACTCCGAGACCCAGAGAGAGACACACACTCAGAGACCCAGAGAGAGACACACACACACACACTCAGAGAGAGACACACACACACTCCGCGACCCAGAGAGAGATGCACACACACACACACACTCAGAGCCCCAGAGAGAGAGACACACACATACACACACACTCAGAGCCCCAGAGAGAGACACACACACACACTCAGAGCCCCAGAGAGACACACACTCAAAGCCCCACAGAGAGAGACACACACTCAGAGACCCAGAGAGAGACACGCATTCAGAGACCCAGAGAGAGAGACACACACACACACTCCGCGACCCAGAGAGACGCACACACACACACACACTCAGAGCCCCAGAGAGAGAGACACACACACACTCCGAGACCCAGAGAGAGACGCACACACTCAGAGCCCCAGAGAGAGACACACACACCCGCACTCAGAGACCCAGAGAGAGACGCACACACACACACGACACCCTCAGAGACACAGGGAGAGAGAGAAACACCCTCACAGACACAGAGAGAGAGAGAGACACCCACACAGACACAGAGAGACACACTCACAGACACAGAGAGACACCCACACACTCACAGACACAGAGAGACACCCACACACTCACAGACCCAGAGAGACACCCACACACTCACAGACCCAGAGAGAGAGAGATACCCACACACTCACAGACACAGAGAGAGAGACAACCACACACTGACAGACACACAAAGAGAGACACCCACACACTTACAGACACACAGATAGAGAGACACAGACACAGAGAGAGAGAGACACCCACACAGACACAGAAAGAGACACCCTCACAGACAAGGAGAGAGAGACACACCATCACAAACACGGAGAGAGAGAGAAACCCTCACCCTCACAGACACGGAGAGTGAGAGAGAGACACCCTCACAGACACGGAGAGTGAGAGAGAGGCACCCACACAGACACGGAGAGTGAGAGAGAGGCACCCACACAGACATGGAAAGTGAGAGAGAGACACCCACACAGACACGGAGAGTGAGAGAGTGACACCCACCCAGACACGGAGAGTGAGAGAGAGACACCCTCACAGATGCGGAGAGAGACACCCACACAGACTCGGAGAGCGAGAGAGAGACACAGACACGGAGAGTGAGAGAGAGACATCCACAGACATGGAGAGTGAGAGAGAGACGCCCACCCAGACGCGGAGAGTGAGAGAGAGACACCCACACAGACACAGAAAGAGAGAGACACCCACACAGACACAGAGAGAGAGAGAGACACAGACACAGAGAGAGACACCCACAGACAGAGAGAGAGAGACACAGACACATAGAGAGAGAGAGAGAGACACCCACACAGACAGAGAGAGAGAGAGAGACACCCATACAGACAGAGAGAGAGAGAGAGAGACACCCACACAGACAGAGAGAGAGCGAGACACCCACACAGACAGAGAGAGAGAGAGAGAGAGAGAGACACCCACACAGACAGAGAGAGAGAGAGACACCCACACAGACAGAGAGAGAGAGAGAGAGAGAGAGACACCCACACTGACAGAGAGAGAGCGAGACACCCACACAGACAGAGAGAGAGCGAGACACCCACACAGACAGAGAGAGAGACACCCACACAGACACAGAGAGAGAGAGACACCCACACAGACACAGAGAGAAAGAGTCACCCACACAGACACAGAGAGAGAGAGAGTCACCCACATAGACACACAGAGAGAGAGACACCCACACACTCACAGACACACAGAGAGAGAGACACACTCACACACACAGAGAGAGCGAGAGACACCCACACAGACACAGAAAGAGACACCCTCACAGACAAGGAGAGAGAGACACACCGTCACAAACACGGAGAGAGAGAGACACCCTCGCACTCACAGACATGGAGAGAGAGATACACCCTCACAGACACGGAGAGTGAGAGAGAGACACCCTCACAGACACGGAGAGTGAGAGAGAGGCACCCACACAGACACAGAGAGTGAGAGAGAGGCACCCACACAGACATGGAGAGTGAGAGAGAGACACCCACACAGACAGAGAGAGAGAGACACAGACAGAGAGAGACACAGACAGAGAGAGAGACAGACAGAGAGAGAGAGAGAGACACCCACACAGACAGAGAGAGAGAGAGAGAGAGAGACACCCACACAGACAGAGAGAGAGAGAGAGACACCCACACAGATACAGAGAGAGAGAGTCACCCACACACTCACAGACAGAGAGAGAGAGAGACACCCACACACTCACAGACACACAGAGAGAGACACACACTCACAGACACAGAGAGAGCGAGAGACACCCACACAGACACAGAAAGAGACACCCTCACAGACACGGAGAGTGAGAGAGAGACACCCACACAGGCATGGAGAGTGAGAGAGAGACACCCACACAGACTCGGAGAGCGAGAGAGAGACACAGACACGGAGAGTGAGAGAGAGACATCCACAGACATGGAGAGTGAGAGAGAGACGCCCACCCAGACGCGGAGAGTGAGAGAGAGACACCCACACAGAC